AAGGCACAGTAATATATCCCGTATTTAATGAGATCTAAATAACAAAAAGCAACACGATGACACATAAACATTTTCTAACACTAATGACATTATGATAATACACTGTTAGACAACTTCTCACTTTTGTCAGCCACTGACAACACAAGGCAGCAATATAATATACCTAATTACCCATTTAATGACTTGGCTGTTTGGTTGGTTGATTTGAAATAAAGCTACATTTGCGTTATCTGCCGTGTCCACCGAAGAGAATCGAACCCCGGATTTTAGCGTTACAAGTCTATAGACTTACCGTTGTCCCAACAGTGAACCATGTAGTGAGACCCCCTAATAAGCCAAAGCAATGGAATCTAGCCTATGTTTTATTTTACTGAGAATTTACATTTGGACCCAAACAACCCAAAGTACTTTAAGCAATGTCATTTTTTACTTTAGTTAGACCTATGTAATATAGCATAAAGTATATTACTTTGATTAAATCTGAATAACATAAAGCAGTACATTCTATATAATTTTTTTTCACTTTAGTGAATTTGTTTGTTTGTTGTTAAGCATAAAGCTACATAATGGGCTATTTGAGCTGTGCCCATCGCGGATATCGAAACCCGGTTTCTAGCGTTATAAGTTCGCAGACTTACCACTGTGTTACTAGAGGGCACACTTCAGTAAGATCTGAATAATACAAAACATGAGAACCTATGGCATTTTTATGCTTTATGAGATTAAAATAAAATCACACAATCTACGAGACCCGAATAATACAAAGCACCACAATATGTTACCGTTTTCACTTTAATGAGTAATTTAGTGGATTTCTAATTTTAGTAAGATATAGATCTTTAAACGCAAATTACAGCTTATTCCAGTGAGTGATGGCCTAAAAAAACACGACATTCTTTCCCATTTCACTATGCCTGAAAAAGCACTACTGTTTTAGTGGTGCTCTAAAAAACAAAAAGCACGACAGTATACGCCTTGTGACGCCCTAAAAACAAAAAATACGACATTCTATCCCGTTTAACTATGTCTAAAAAGTACTACTGCTTTAGTGGTGCTCTAAAAAATAAAAAGCACGACAGCATACGCCTTGTGACGCCCTAAAAAACAAAAAACACGACATTCTATCCCGTTTCACTATGTCTAAAAAGTACTACTGCTTTAGTGGTGCTCTAAAAAACAAAAAGCACGACAGTATACCCTTTGTGACGCCATAAAAACAGAAAAACACGCCATTCTATCCCGTTTCACTATGCCTAAAAAAGCACTACTAGTGGTGCTTTAAAAACACAAAGCACGACAGCGTACCCCTCGTGACGCCCTAGAAACAAAGACCACGTTATTCTATCCCGTTTCTGCGATTCCTTAAAAGAAAAACCAAAAAAACTGGCAATCTATCTCTTATATTTTTCTTTTAATTAGCCTCCAATAACATGACGCTCAGATCCATCTTTTTTTATTTATGGCAGAAAATTCCATAGTATGAGTCATTTGAGTTATACAATATGTAACGCAATAACTACAACGCAAGAGAAAAAGTAAGTATAGCAATACTTGTACATCAATAATTCAGCTTGTGACTCAAGAGACACCTTGATTCAAACGATGTCTCTAAATCAGGACCTTTAAAGAAAGTTACTGAACTTCAAATGTAGCAACTTCTAGGCAGTACTTCCAACGACAAATATCAGTACAATGTGAGCACAATGGCTCAAATAATACTCTTTTCTGAAAATGCACGTATATATATATATATATATATGGAGAGGGAGTGTCTATATCGATTATCAATAGATAGAGATGACAACGCGTGTACGGTTTAATTCAGTACAGCTTATCTTAGCCCATATATAGAGAGATAAAGACAATATTGGATGTCTTACTCTACGTTAAAGCCCTGGATATTTAATTACCATTAATTAGCAACAGTTTCCCGTCCCTACACAATGTGAAGTTCATGTCGCTATCTTTAGGCCATGAGGACGTAGAATACATCAAGAGTCGTTAACTGAACATTTGATTTTCTCATCACGAACTGGGCAAATATTGTTGTAACCAGGAAACATAACGGAAGTCAGCAGAAAGACAGACGCTTAACAGGGTTGCCAAAGGAAATTAAACTTTTGCATCGCACCCACCTTAACATCAAGTAAACTTCCATTTAGAAAAATCTCGCCTAAGGATAAAGGAGCGTCGTGAAAACGGGAGGGGTTAACGCGACAAGTGAAGGGGAGAAATTGATTTTACACGTGAGCGATTTCATTAATTTTTTGTTGTTAGATTTTGATTCCCAGCAAAGATGGAAAAAAATAGACATGTAAGGAGGTTTTTTAGCGAACACGGTGCAGCTGGTAATGAGAAGTAGTGACAAGTCGATAATCAAGCAGGACTGGCTTTCAGCTTCGCCTAGCAACTTGGTTTGACGTACGTTTCTAGAGAATGCTACAGGTTAACATGAGTTGCTAGGAAAAGTTATTCATCACTCGAAGAAGACATCGTCATTGCTTTGTTGGATAAATGTCCATACACAGATTGATAAACAGTCTTCATATGGATACATAATCACTAAATAGCAGACAACTGAATACTACAGAAACATACAGACACCTTATTGTGACATGTCATTCTAAACAGACAATCAGTTTTCAAATATTAATTAATTAGTAGGTGTAATCAATAAATGAAAGCAAATACTAATGCTAATTTTTCGCTCTGGGGGCACTACTTTCACAAAGAAAATAGGCATATCTTGAGAGAGTTTTCGTAGCGATATAATTGTTAACAAAGTCTACGATATCAAAAACACAGTTCATATAAATAACTAAATCTTTTAATAAAATGAGTTAATGCTACTTAAAAAAATAAACAGATGATTATCGAAGTGACATTCATGGAACATACGACTTCTTCAATATTAAAGAGAAAGAAAGACTCCCGGTAATGGTACTAAATGGAAATAGTCTCAGTAATGGTACTAAAAAGAAAGAAATACTCCAAGTAATGGCAGTAGAGGGAAAGAAAGACTCCCGGTAATAGTAGAAAATAATAAAAAAATAGACGCCTGGTAATGGTACTAAAAGGAAAGAAAACTTCCGGTAACTTTTTTCCTGATTTCTTAATAGAATATTTAAGTAGGCATGTATAAATTACACTCTTTTTTGCAATTAATGAAACTTAATTAATTTATTAAACAAACAGGTTAATTAGTAAAAAACAGTTATACAAAGCATACAGAGAAATAAATATTAGAACTTAGACAATTAGGTGTCTGTGAATGTTCATGTTTTAAGAATGTATATTTATATGTGTAAGCGTATAGATAGTTAGAGATGTACGAATATATATACAGTTGTGTTAGATTATAGATAGTTTGAGGTGTAAGAATATAAACATAACTAGATGTGTTAAGAAATAAACAGTTAGATGTGCTAGAATATGGATAGATAGATATGGTAGATTATATATAGTTGAATGTATTAAATCATAGACCATCAGGTGTGTTAGTAATACAGATAACTGTATTAGAAGTTATATAGATTTTGATAGTTATAATAGAAGTTTCCTGATAAGTTAGAAATTGCGGAATATAGTTTGTTTAGTAAGACGAAGTCTAATATGTTAGGGAAATAAATAGGAACATTAATCTATAAAAAATGTGTTAATTATTATATTTAGGAAGAGATGTATGCTAATATAAATTGGGATATAGTTACGTATGTTAAAGCAAAGACATACACATGAATTTGATTATAGACAGTGTTCTATTACAGTTTTAATATACAGTAAACGGTGTAGAAAACTGCTTAGAAATGTATGACATGGATTTATAAAGAGAGGAGACAGAGTTACTTCTGGAACAGCTGAAACAGAGCAATAAAGTAAATTTAAGCTCCCAAGCAAAAAACACTTGATGAAGCCCTTAAATATTTTAAGGAAATGATATTTACTACTTCATAAATTCAAAAAATATTTCCCCTTAAAAGTGCTAACTAAGTTTTAGTTTTTGTTACAAATGTGAAACTAAAAATTGCTTACTTTTTAAAAAGTAACAACAGAATTTTGAAAACGTTGGACCTGGATATTATCCTCGTGTTCTAAACATATCTTGCTAACTCGAAGTTTCCGTGACCGAGGCTATTCCCAACAAACACCACCAAAAACGTCAGTCTCATTTAAGTTGTAGAAACGACGTAATTTAGAAGGTGCACAGTAACAAACCTACACATGCAACCAGCCTTTCCTCCAAAACTATGGTTCACATGTTTGATTTTTATTCCGTCAACCTATAATTATCATAACGATATTTTCAGATCAGCTTTTTTCCAGACAAGTAGCTTCAGGGAAATAGATAAAATAAACACAGATAGATAGATAGATAGATGAGTGAGTGAGTGAGTGAGAAGAAACAGCTTACTAAATAAGTGATTGGTCAAATTTTATAGTTCAAGCACATACAGAATTCCCAAGGGGGAGTTGGCTCTTTCCGTGTAATGACGTATATAGTGAATTTAAATCCCTTCCACCACTTTTCCTTAAAACTGCCTGCTGGCGCGTGCCTCCGATGAGTCATGCCATTTTTTTCTTTATTCAATAAGCTTGGCTAGTATCATTTGCACATTGTTACCCATTCACAGTCATTAAGACAATTCTACGTATTTTAGAGATTTGTTCCAATGAATTAAAACTAACGTAAACCTAAACCAGCAACGTAAAAGTTATTCCAGTTAAAAGAAATAGTTTTAAACCTTGTATGATATTGATCACCAATGCTTGAGCTTATTTGTTGTGTGAGCTACACCAATAACATCTGGTGTACATGGTTTCGAAGTTGATCAAGTGTACGTTATAAGGGGCTCTTGAAAGTCTGAATATATATATCTGATGTGAAATAATCTCATGTGCACAGGTATACCTGCATCATCAAGATGGAAATATTGAGTAACTTTTACATCTAAGAAGAAACTGACAAAATAACAATCGAGTAAGAAGATATTATCACTCACCCCTGGTAAGGTTCTCTGTTCGTGGAGGGCGTTCTGAGCCTTGACAGCACTTTCCCGAGCACAGTAAGTCAGAAAGGCGCAACCTACAAAAAACAAAGAGCAATTCAACGTGCTAGAATTTAAATGTCCGTTTTACTTCACGATAGATATTATATACACTTCACCATACAAAAGGCCTAATAGTATTTCTTTGGTTTTCTGACCCAAGATGTGCTGATGAGCTTTGAATAGGCGAAACTGCAGTCCACAGCAGACGGTACGACCAATCAAATAATGCATTAAGTCTCTACGTCATAGATTGTCTTTTTTTTTTCTACCAGAGGTAAAATTGAAAAGAAATCTTTAACATATATATATACAATTAAAAATTGTTTTAAAGATTAACTTACTCTTAAAAAAGAGCATTACTTACTATACGCTGTCAAAACTTATTACACACGATCCCCATTGTTATCTCACTGTTAAAAATTATATATATTAGTTTGTGGGTATAAAAACGCAAAGAAAGAATAAAAAACGTATGTTTTACTGAAAGGTTTTTTTTCCGCGTCCTTGTAAAAGCAAGAAAGAACATTCATTTTCGATACAAGCTTATCACATGAGATAATAGTTTGTAAGTTTGATATACTGCTTGAAATTCATTGTCTCTTCCTATTATATCTTAAACGGGACTTAAATTACAGATGGAGTGTTTAATGAACATCAGTATTTAAACTTCATTCTCTCTTCAGTAATACAGACAATGTTTTGAATAATTTACACGATCGTTGGTGCTCAGTGTTAACCTCGATTTTTCGGTGTGTTGCTTTTTTATCATCTGCCACTTTAAACCTCAGTGGATTTGCATAGGAACATCACTTTGTTACCGTTTAAATAAATAAAAACCATTCTGTTTTTTTTCACAAATGCTATTATATGTAGGATGATGCCGGTACATCCAACAGCGTTACTCTTCAAACACAATCAACAATAAAACCCTACAGATAAAATCAACAGTGTTACTTGCAAACATAACCAACAGTAATACCAGGCTAATATAACTAACAGAGTTGATTTATTCACACAACCAACAGTGTTAATTTACTGCAGACATTATCAACAGTACTACCCTGTAGATACAACCAACAATGTTACCGTGCTGACACAACCAGCAATGTTATCCTTCTGACATAACCAACAGTGCTACTCTGCTGACACAACCAATAGCGTTATCTTGCAAACTTACCCTACAGTGTTACCAGGCTAATATAACCAACAGTGTTACTTGCAGACACAACCAATGGCATTACCCTGTAGACACAACCAGCAATGTTACCCTGCTGACACAACCAAGAATATTACCTTGTTGATAGAACCAAGAGTGTTATCTTGCAAAAGCATCCGACAATGTTACTCTGCTAACACATCCAAAAGTGTTACTTTGTTGACACCACCAATACAGTTACCGTGAAGACACAACCAAAAGTGTTACCCTGCTGACACAAACAAAAGTGCTACTCTATTGACACAACCAACAGTATTACTTTGAAGATATAATCCAAAATTGTTACTATGCTAACATAACCAACACTGTTACCCTGTTGGCATAACCGACAGTGTTACTTTGCAGACACAACTAACAGTGTTACTTGTTGATACAACTAACAGTGCTACTATGCTGACACAACCAACAGTGCTACTCTATTGACACAATCAACAGTATTTCTCGCTGCTCTTTACATCTACCACAGCTATGGTGCGAAAATGTAAATGTTCTTAAAACACATGTATAACTCATATATGGTTTGTCCTTTTCGAAGCTAAAAGTTGATCAATTGTGAAATGTGTATTATACAACACAAACACCTCGCACGTGTAAAAATATTTCGATCCTACACTTATCTTCTTTAAAGGTATTAATACTTTTCTTGAACGTATGGAAACGACCCATTACTAGTTATTTTTTAATTCAGCAACAACAACAACAGAAAAAAAAAGCAACTAGCTTATACTATCTTTTGAGATCACGTTTAGGTAGGACAGACCGGCTTCTGTAGGAACTGGAGACATAAATGTAAAAGCTTGTAAGTAAATTGTTAGGCTTAGATATATTGCACAAACTTTGTGAAATTGTCTATAGCTCTGGTGTTAATGTTAGTTTTAATAACAGAACAACTATAACTTTAACTTGTAAGCGCCTACAACTGCAGTGAAATGTTTATATGTTTTCGTATTTATATACATATATAGGACAGTTGTAACAATGTCTAGCATATTTTCATAAAATAATTTTAACGGTAAGTATACCTTCTATTTTACATAGATTCTGTACATATATCCACTATGTGTTTAAAAAACCACTAGGACTAGTGATGTGGTCTGTAAACATGTAATGCTGAAAGTTCAATACTCGTGGTGCAATCTAATAAAGCACTCACTATGTGGTTAACAACGCATGTAAAAGGATATACAAGAAGAGTTCAATAAAAGTAAGAGAGGGAAACAATCAGAACACGAAGAAAACGTGAACTGCACTAACATAAAATTCCTGATCACGTATATAAGATTGACCTAGCTATAATGTTCCATTCTGCACCGAAATTACTGGTGCTACGTCCTAAAGACATCATACATAACCGATTCAATGTATTATGAAGGTCTGTAAAAATATGTAGCATATTGGAAATTTTGTGAAAGTTATTTCTACTTTTAACAGATATGTTTTGACTTTATTCAAATGTTTATTTTGCAACCAAGCATTTGAACACTTTTTGGTCTAAGCCACAAAGATAGATCAACCTTTTTAGTACTAATTTCTTCCCCTAGAAATATTCAAAAAAATAACATTGTAGTAGCAAATACACCATCCTGTAAGCAGTACTGAGGAAACAGGTAACAGTATTGAATTTGTGACATATCAGTTTGTTTATACTGTAGAGTAAGGCTACGTGAATGATTTCTTTTCATCTAAATATACACATCACGAAAAACTTCATAACACATTTATACACAATTCATCATAATACGCTGATGGCAGATTGCCGTTTCATATCGAATACAAGTAATGTATATAGTTTACTCGGTTACTCTTCACCATAAAATTGTATCTAAAACTGCATTTATCACGATATGAATACACAATCTTTACATATGTTTAATTTTCAACGTAGTTTATACGTGTAACAGTTGAATATCTAGTTCATCTCCCGAGTAGGAAATTATTATTTAACACTGTTGTACATTTTCAATTCTTTGAAAAATAAATTATTCAAAACAAAGCAATACCAATGCAGAATTTCGATACATAAATAACTTATTAATTTACATTTCATTACCCTTAAAGTTCAAATGCCAATTTCTGTTTTTAGACCGTAAGATTATAATAAATCGAGGTAGTTTTAATACCTAATTGACACATGAAATATTTATCCTAAAATGAAATTTTGATTTTGATTGCCTTTCTATAAACTCAATGTAACTCGAACTTTTAATCATCTTTCAAATAAATTGAAATTCAGTACGTTTCGATTACTTGTATCGACTTACCTGTATTCTACATACGTAAGTGGCTTAAGAAATATTTACGACCAAACTAAATGTTAAGTATCAGAACCAAACCTGTTATTAAGAGTAGGGTTAAGTGTAAAACTTAATCCACTGGCAAATTACCTGAAATTCAGTTAATGCCAACTTCTCATACCAGCCTACTAAAGACCGAAATATCTAAGTGGCTTAAGGAACATTTACCCCAGAATCAAATGTTAACTCCTATTGGATATACAAGATTGTTTTGTTTAAGAGTTATTATTTAGTGATTTAATATTTAATGAGTATTTAGTTTTCATAGCAATAGTAAAAATTAATTACTTTAAAGTGATAATTATGATAAGTTTCGTTACATACTCTGTACGAACTGTACGTTGCAAATGTAGTTTAATTGTTGTACTAGCTTTTGTAATATTGTTGACGTCATCTTACTCGAAGCCTCTAAGTTTTTCTCGTTATGCGTAATATTGTTGTTATTAGAGGTCTAGATTTTTCTGTCACTTGTTATAAATACGTGCAAATAGCAAGTTAAGTTAGTGAAAGTACAAGTGAAGTTAAATTGTGTGTCAGTTTAGCTGTAACGGGCGATTTCTAAAGGGCGTTTTACAGCTTATACTGTACTAACAGAAATAGACAAGAATAATTTGTCTTGTCAAAGTGTGTTATAAAATAATTGAACCCGCCTACGTGGACTTAGACGAAACAAATACAACTGTGATAACCAATAGTGTAACGAACGTTTATACTTACGTTTGACTTGTTTTGAATATATATAATTTTAAAATAAGTAGA